TGATCCAGAAGGTGAAGGAGCCGCAGCAGGGTGCAGTGGCCGGCCGGGCTTGGGCCAGGCACGGTGTGGGAGCCTTCTGTCCCTCACACCCGCTGTCTTCTCGCCCCTCAGACCAGGCGGGGCGCGAAGGAGAGGACCTCGTACGCCCTGAGCAGCAGTGATGAGGAGAATCTAACGAAGGAGATCGGGGTCACTTACAAATCGACCAGGTCGGCGGTAAGGACTGGGCAGAACTGTGGCTCTGGGGTGTGAGGTCAGGTGGGGCTGGCAGATCCCACACTTGATGGAGAGAATTTGCCTCTGTGAATGTGGGATCAGCACCTCCCTTCCCTTTTAATAGACAGGTGCCTTGTTCTAGGCTTATTCTCCTGGTCTGTCTTGCGCTCTCAGGAGGCCACTTAAGGTTGGCCTTTCTCTCTTAGAGGTGGGAATTAAAACCCCAGGATGCCACCTGACTTGCCCAACATTGCACAAAACGTTCAGGAGAGGGAGCACTTGAATTGAGTTTGCCCTACTGATAGGTTTGTGTGTTCAGTTTTAGATCATCTTCCATCACAGAGAACTGAAGGTGACTTAGGAGGTGCTCCCATCATTATCCTTGTGACTAGTGATGGAGCAAGAGCTTCAGGGGGCAGTTGTTTTCTTGGGATTGATGGGTGGGGTATCCTGGGGGTGCTGTTAATATATGCAGTGGAAAGAAATGAGCCATGAAAGGTTGGGCACAGCTCAAAGTGCTCTTCTCACTAGAGCTTTTTCTTAACTTATCTCTTGATCCAGTGAAGCTTTGCCCATTAGTATGGGCCTGAGCAGGACACAAGATTAAAAGCAGATATCAACACTTGTTCCTCTTCAGACCTATTTCCTTCTTGCCTGTGCCTCTGTATATAACAGGAATTATGCTCTAACTGTCCCCAGTCAGAGCTGCAGGGTCAGACTGAGGTCTCCTTGCAACATTAAAGATGAATATGAATATAAGCTGGTGCTGTAATTATTCACTGCTCTGACTGCTGCCAAGGTGGGCAGCACGTTGGTAGGAGAATGGGGAGGGAACAGGAGGAGATGGCAGCTTTGGGCTCCAGAAGCTTCTGACACCTGAGTTGGATTTGGTTTTAATTGGGGCTGGCTGTAATTATTCTTTAGTTTCTGCACAGCTGTTCCTGAAGATCTGATAAAACCAAAGAACAGGTGTCAGCTCAGTCCATTGAAGAGGAATCTAAACGAGGTTGCTGTATTAAATCTGAATTTAAGCCGCCCACAGCTGGGCTGAAAGTTCAGACAGAACATCCTGGTGTAGGTGGGATGGTCTCGTGACTGGAGTGTGGGACATGGGAGACTGGAGCTCAGCTTCCAGCTGAGTGTGGAGGAGTGAAGTAAGGAGAAGTGTTTCCTGACTCTGCAGGGTGAAACTCAGGAGCAATGGTTAATTCTGGCCTCTGCAAGCACTAAGCTGGATCCAGCCCATGGGGGATCTTCCCTGGCAGGTGCTAAGGGGTGGTAGAAACTGATGGAAGGTGAAGGTCATGAGCAGTACTTGCTCTGTGAGCAACTCTTCAGGTAGCCATGGAGCTCTCTCGTCTGATTTTTCTCCTTGCTGTTGTCCCAAGTTCTTTCTGCTTTTCAGAAACCTGTTGGCCCAGAAGACATGGGAGCCACAGCAGTGTATGAGCTGGACACGGAGAAGGACAAAGATGCCCAGGCCATCTTCGAGCGCAGCCAGAAAATCCAGGAGGTGAGTCAGCCTTGCCCTGTAGGAGCTGCTGCTCTGCAGTGTCCCTTCTGCACACCAAGGAGGGTTTGAGTCTCTTCCTCGCTGGAAATTTGGGAAGCTGAGAATGTAACCCTTGCAAATAGGGGGATTTTTCTGGCTTTTTTTGGGATCTTCCTATTAAGGACAGCAGAGCTGGGGAGGGAGACTGGTGTCAGGGTGGTGAAAGCTAATCTGTGTCGTGAAGCTTTCCTGACCCTTCATCACCTTTCTTTTTTCTCTCCTAGGAGCTGAGAGGAAAGGAAGATGATAAAATTTACCGTGGTATTAACAACTACCAGAAGTATGTGAAGCCCAAGGACACATCGATGGGAAATGCCTCTTCAGGAATGGTCAGGTGGGTTGGGGTGAGCCTCAGAGGACTGGGACCACAGAGGAGCTCAGGCATCCTCTCAAAGGCCCCTGTTTGGGGCTTGAGCTTGGGCTGTTAGCTCCAGCTTCTTTGTAATAAATCTAGTGTCTGGTTCTCACCAGGCCCTCAGGGGCCTTCTCCACGGCAGCAGGCAGACTGAGCCTTGTCCCACCCTTTCAGGAAAGGGCCCATCCGGGCTCCGGAGCACCTGCGGGCCACGGTGCGGTGGGACTACCAGCCTGACATCTGCAAGGACTACAAGGAAACGGGGTTCTGTGGCTTTGGAGGTGAGTGGATCTTGTCTGCAGCTGAGCACGTGACATGCCAGACCTGCAAAGGGACCTGCTCTGGCTTGGGATCCCATCTGTGGTGCTAAGATGTGCTCTTAGTCATTTACAGATGCTTGTTTGTAGAGCTGGGGGGTGATGATGTTGCAGGGTCATTTCATGTCATGTTCTTGTCGTTTGTGTCGGCCCTTCTGAAAGCTGATGGCCTTTAATGGGGGGGGTTACAAGAGTCCTGGGGGGGTCCCCTGGGGTGTTGCAGTGACCCACATTCCCACAGGTATTCTGGCCACTGAGGCTATGTGAGGGATTTGATTTCCTGTTCCTTATTCCCCTCTCTGTGTGTAGCCACTGGAACTGTTACCAGGGCACAGGGAGCAGGATCCCTGCGAGGGGTCCTGGGCCTGCCTCAGGAGCCTGGTGCTGCCCTGGGGCACGGGCAGGGCAGGAGTCAGCATCCCCCTTCTGCCTGGCAGAGCTGAGGCTGCCCCTGGTGCCCTGTTCCTGCTGTGCCCCCCTCGGCCTCGCTGCTCACTGCTCTTTCTCTGCTGCCCAGACAGCTGCAAGTTCCTGCACGACCGCTCGGACTACAAGCACGGCTGGCAGATCGAGCGGGAGCTGGACGAGGGCCGCTACGGCGTCAACGGTACAGCACCTCTGCTCTGCCCCCCCAGGCCAGGGGACACTGCTGCCACGGTGGCCCACGGCTGCCACGGCTGTCCTTCTGTCCTGCCCGAAAGCCAGCGGGACCTCGGGGGGTCGGATCACTAGGAATTAAATGGGTCCTTCGCGGCCGTGGGTTGGACCAATACTGGGCAGAAGATCTTTATTCCAAAGCAGTGGAACTCCCTGCTGCAGGGCGACCTTGGGGCCAGCCACCCCTGACAGGGCTGCTCAAATCTGCTGCTTTTAGAGAACCCCTGGCTGCCACCAGAGAATTAATTTCCCCTGTCTCCCTATAGAAGGGCAGCACCACTGTTATGTGGGTCCCAGCGGTGCGCTCTGAGGAGCTGTGACCATCTCCTGCCCCCCAGATGCCCAGGAGGTGGGATGACTTCATGCTGTGTCATATCATTATTTCTCACTCAGCTACACAGCTACAGCCCAAATCTCCCAAGTGTTGCTCATGAACCATTGTGCCAGGGGGGAAGAGGGTGTTCATTGTTCAGTTGGAGCCAAAGTTTGGTGGCAGCTGCTTTGAAGAAAACCTAAAAAATAAGAGGGGGCTGGGGGATTTGTCTCTTTATAGCAGCAAGTGGGCGAGATAGAAAAAAAAATCTGCTCTTGTGAGATGAGCAACAAGCACACTGGCTCATTAGACCTAATTATATCTGAGTCCCACATGTGTTTCTGACATCAGCATCACCCAGATACCAGAGCTCTATTGTTTCCAGCAGAGATTCAGTCCCACCTGCCACAGCCTCTCTGTATTTCATATTTCATGCCCCACGCATGGGCTGGGCTGGTTGCCTCTGCTCTGGCTCCACTCTGCTTAACTTTCTTTTCTGCAGATGAGGAAAACTATGAGGTGAGCAGTGATGAGGAGGATATGCCTTTCAAATGCTTCATCTGCAGAAGTTCCTTCAAGAACCCAGTGGTCACCAAGTAAGTGGTTGTCCTGCACAAGGAGCCAAGTGCCAGCTGTTAATCCAGTTCACTAGTCATTCACTGTCGAGACAAATACAAACACTGCCCACAGGCTGGTGGGTGGAACCTGCTGTTGTCTGCTGTGGGGAAACCCTCTGATAACCAGGGAGTCTCATAACTGCATCTGGAACATCTCCTTGGAAGGGATCTCAAGCCTTTATTGTCCCAAGCCCTTTCTGATTCCTGCAGCTGCTGCCTCATTACATCACCTTTCCCCTTAACCTTGAGGTTTTGCTTTGATGCCCTCATTCCTCCTGGATGCTGCATCATGTGAGCAAAGAACCATCAGTGTTGGGAGGCCAGGAGCTTGGGGCTGGGGGGCAGCGTGGGCCTGGGCACCACCAGCCCCTCTGCAGTGCTGGCTGTCTTGCTGGGTACCTGGTGCCAGGAGGAGCTCACGGGTGGCTCTGCCATTGTTCCCCATCAGCACATGCTGCTCATGGGGACAGTGAGGCGGAGGAAGCTCTGCGTGCAGCTCACTGTTGCACCCCTTGGGACCAGCAGTCAGTCATTTCTAACTCCTGGACACAGTGGCTGTGCCTGGTGCCTCACAGTGAGGTCTGTGTCTCCGTGCAGGTGTAGGCACTACTTCTGTGAGAGCTGTGCCCTCCAGCACTACCGCAAGTCCCAGCGCTGCTACGTCTGCGACAAGCAAACCAACGGAGTCTTCAACCCAGCGAAAGGTAACCCCACTGCTGGGGGAGAAGGGGTCAGTGGGAGCACCAGCAGCAGCAAGGGCTGCCTCCCGAGGGGTCTTCTCACTGCTGGCCTGGCCCTCAGCTGGAGCTCACAGCTCTGGGCTGCTGGCTGCTCCTTGTGTGCCAGGAGACACTAAATCAGGGCCTGGGTGGCTCTGTGGGTGCAGAACTCGTGTCTGTGCTTGCCTGGCTGGGAATGGGGGGAGTGTGGCTTTGGGTGAGGGGGGGCATATGCCACAGAGCACAGGCAGCATCTTCTCTGATGCTCTGGTTAGCAGGTTAGTTACACACTGAGCTGTGACTGACATCTGATGTCCTGGACTCAGCAAACGTGGTAGCTCTGAGCTGAGCCTTTGTCTGGGCAGTTGGGTTTTGCAGCTGCCCTGGTTCTTGCACAGGAACCTGCTGTGTGCCCATCCTGCCTATCCCTGTTTTTCAGAGCTCATGGCAAAATTGGAAAAGCACAAAGCAGAGGAAGAGCAGCAGGATTCAGACCATGAAGAGGATCCAAAATAGCAAAGCACCCTATTTTGTATGTAGCTGAATAAAGCTTTTATGGGGGGGAAGAAAAAACCCAGCTCACAGCAGTTGCCTTGGGGCCAGCAGCTGTAGCCAGTTTGTGTGTATCCCACCAGCAGCTACCAGTGTCCTGACTGCCAGACTCTTGCTGCTCTGTGAAGGCATAAGCCAGAACAGGTAAGGTCAAACCCAAGAGTTGTGGTATTAAGTCTGTGATCTTCAAGCATGTAGCAAACTGAAAGCCTGGAAAGGGATGAGCAGTACTAGCTTGTCACATTCATCTTTTACCCTAAAAATGCTGACTCAGGAAAGCAGGCTTGAGGGCTGCAGTTATCTGTGATGTATCACACCTCTGCCTCTTGGTTCCCAGGAGAATTCAAGAGGGTTAGAACTTCAGTAAGCAAGACCTTGAATTGCCCCTCTTCTGTGATTCTGAGAGGAAGCATCACTGCCAAGCACAACCCCTGCAGTGTGTCAGTAACTCAGATGCTGTGAGTGCTACTGGGCTGCCTCTTGCTCTGAATACTGGTGATTCAGTCCCTGACAAGGCTGGGGGAGCAGGGATAATGGTTTTTGCAAGCTGTAGACTTCAGGACAAGCTAGTAGGTTCACAGAGCCCCAGCATGGGTGGGGGTGGAAGGGTCCTCTAGGAATCATCCAATCCCCCAGCACCAGCAGGGTCACCCACAGCAGGGTGCCCAGGATTGTGTCCAGGTGGGTTTGGAATCTCTCCAGGAGGCTCCACAGCCTCTCCAAGCTCTGCCACCTTCACAGCAAAGAAGCTTCTCCTTTTGTTCTGGTGGAAGCTCTTTGATTCCAGTTTGTGCCTGTCACTGGGTACCCAGCCTCTTGCCTCCCACCCTTTAGATATTGATAAGCATTGATCAGACCCCCTCTCTCAGGCTTCTCTTCTCCAGGCTGAACAGCCCCAGGGCTCTCAGCCTTTCCTCAGCAGGGAGATGCTCCAGGCCCCTCAGCTTTCTAGTTCCCTATTGATCACAGTTTCCTGTAGGGCTAAATCAGGAGCCAAACCTGATACTAGAGGGGGAGCAGAAGTGGGACTGCCCCATCTTTTGTCACCTGCCCTTGCTCCACCCCTGCTCTGGGACAATGAGCACACTAACAAAACCTCCAGGAAAAGGGCAAGAGCAGTTATTTGCAGCTTCTTGAATTAAGTTTCTGAAACATCAAAGTTGTTGCAACTAATAGTGTCACAAGCTGCTGTGGTGACAAGAGCAACTGCCCTCAGTAGTGTGTCTTTTGATGCCACCCAGCCCTTGCCAGCTCCCAGGGTACAAGCAGCAGTGTTTTAAATAAGGAAAGGAGAGCAAATGTGCACACCCAGCCTGCAGCAGCAGTTGTGATCTGCTCCCACCTTCCAGCAACAGCAGGCTTAAAAAAACCCCAACAACTTCAGTAATATTTTATTTGTTTTGGCAAAAAAACTAGAGTAACAAACTTTATCTGGGTTCAAGTACAACTTATAAACACCCAAAAGACCTGTTGCCAGCACCACTATTCCCATCAAGCACCCCTACAGGACTGGATTCTCAGTGCTTCCTTAAAGTGTAGAAAGATGTCCAGCACTTATGGTCCTGGAAGGGTCCAACCAAAAAGCCTTAAATCCACTTACTTACAAAAAAAACAAATACCATGGAATGGGGGAAAGCTGAGAGAGCAGCAGCTGTGGAATCACACAGCCCTGACTCCAGGGGAGCCACAGGAGAAGCAAGCCTTGACCTGTTGTTCAGTCAGGGAAGGCAGGACAGCAACAGCAGTGGAAGGGTTCAGACCAATTCTGTACATGATGTTCAACGAGGAGTTGCAAGCAAGAGGATTTAACATGAAAGTCCACTTAATGTCCCTCCATGCCAGGGAAGGTCCCTGAGGACAAGCTGGTGTAAGTGTTACATGCTGTGAAACCAGCCCAGCTAATGGGAGGTTCAACTCAACATGCTCAGGGGATAAAGAAGCTGGTGTTGGGCCTAGGTTTAACCACTCACTTTGGTGATCCTGGCAGCCAGGGGAGGAGAGGGTGGAATGCCCTGACCTGGAGTTCAGAGTGCTCAGCATCAAGTGAGAGGAGTCTGCCCAAGCTCTCTCCAGAGCTGGAGGAGAGGCATCCAGTGCAACAAGTGTGCCTGGAATGGAATTAGGTTGTCTCTGGTCTCCCACATTCCATCACAAAGCCGTGACTGAATTTTAGAAAATAATTGCTTTCCCCCCACCCATCCTCAAACTTGCCCTGTGACAACACTGCTGCAGTAACCTGACTAGCTCTAAGAGAATGCCCAACACTAGGAGCTGCCTGCCTCCCCTTCTCTCCAAGGCACCCTTAAAACAGAAAGAACCAAAGAGGGTGGGGACACGCAGCCTTCAACTGTGATACAAGGAAGTCAGTGATTTTTAGAAAAACATAAATAGAGACTCACTCAACCCATTCAAGTGATCTACCAGTGCTCAGCGGCAAGACCTGGGCCTCTGGGCATTGTGCCAGCTGGAGTACCCCACAGTTCCCTGGGGCTGATCCTTTTCCAGCTCGGGTCTGTCCATTTGTTTCCAGGCTACTGAAGTAAACAGGCAGCTGAAGCTCCTTCCCCAGGACCTGTAAACTCTTCTATGTGCGTAACATGCATCACCTTTTGTGAACAGGACCAATAAATTACAATGTCCAGAAACATCCTCCAGAACCAGTCCCTGTTTTTCTAGAATTCCCAATCATCCACCTCCAGCTGCTCCAGGTTTGACACCAGCCCAAAAATGCCACTGGGATCTTGGGGCCGTGTTCCTTCGAAGTTGGTGATGGGGGTGACGGGGCGCAGGAGCTCGGGGAGTGCTTCGGATGCACGGCGTTTGATCTGCACAGAGGAGAGAACTTGGCTGCTCAAACCCTGCCCCACAGCTGCCCCCACGGAGCAGAACAGGCTGTGGTTAGAGGCAGGCAGTAAGAACACAGCATCATCCTTCCACCTGCACAGAGAGGTGTGCAGGACTTCCAACACGCCACCTTGAGACAAGACACCGTGGGGTCAGGACGCACGCCTCAGGCAGCACCACCCCAGCCCTCAGCTCAGAGCACGCCAGAGAAATCATTCCAGGGGCAGGAGAGCTTCTGCCTCTTCTCCTGCCAGGGCTGGAGCTCACTGACCTGCCACACAGCTGCACAGGTCACCTCAGAACCAGGTTAGGACAGTCTTGCCCCAGTACTGGTTGTGGGTGAAAAACTTCTGGTGTACAGGACTGGCAGATTCACTTACTTATGTGTTTAGATAAGGAAGAGATGGTTTGGAAAGAGCCCATCCACCTCCCAGGAGGATGTGAGGATCACCAGGCTGCACTGCAATTAGTCACTGAAGTATATTAATCTTTTCAGATCACAGAAAATCGAGCAACTAGGCATTCCCACCCTCAGGTTCAGTGACACAGCAAGACAGGAAGCCCAGAAAAGCCACTGTTTAATTTGCAGATCAAATGAGTTCCTTACCTGCTTGAAAAAGGGATGATTAAGCAGAGCGCCTGCGCTTGGCCTGCAGAAGAGAGTTAGAATAAAGTAAGCACACAAGAATATACATCAGTATTTAAAGTCAGGTAGTAGAAGAAACAAGACCAGAGTCATTCCTGCCTCTCATGTCTCAGCTACAGGACATCTCCCTTTGGTAACCAGCAGCACTGTTACATTCATGTGATGCCTTATCATCTCTGGTGGCTGAACAGCAGACATACACAGTGATGGAAACTGGATAAACTGTCTCACAGGAACCCAGTTTCTTTTCCTCACAGGTAGCACCACTCAACCCCCCAAAGAAGGCTGCGAAGTAAATCTATTAAAATCGCTCAAGGTGTTAACACCCTTCTTGCTTGACACACTTGGGCTTCTCAACATGCGGAGCACACCCTCCACTTCCAGAAAGAAAACCTCCAACAACCTCTGCTGGCTCTCAGAGCTGGGTCAGCCCTGGAGTCGTGCAGGCCCTTGAAGCAACAGCTGCCAGGTGGTGGTACCTGAAGTCGGGGTTCCGCTGGAGGCACTGCTCCACGAAGCTGTGGAAGCAGGTGGAGAAGGTGCGCAGGTAGGGGTGCAGGGCGGGCTCCCCGTTGGCCGCGCGCACGTTGCCGGCCGTGCCCTCCCCCATCCCGTAGTTAGCGCTTGAGCGGGAGGTCTTCATGGTCAGCTCGTCAG